ACCCACAGGTCGGTTCAACAAATATCATCTGCTGTTTTCAAACTACAATAGTATGTTTGTCAGGGTTTAAATAAAGAAGGGAAATGTGAAGTTTCTCATGAGCGGCTTATTTATTTCTTGCCTTAACTGCATCTGTAAGAGAGACCAAAAAGTTCCCGAGTTAGTGGCTTTAATATTCTGCAAATTGTAAATTTGTGACAAAAGAAACCAGGAAAGTGCTCAAATATTGCTGCAGACTTCGTGCCACCTAATGAAAACGCAAATTAATTTAATCAGTCTTTGAGGAGTCTCGTTCATTGATGCAGGATAATATCTGCCAACTAGCACTGTTTACCTTCAATACTTCTCATTGAAAATCTTCCCAATGGTATTAATCGATATGGTTGTGTATTAATTTTGAATTGTTTTACTGTTAACAACGAAGGTGGTAACAGAAAAAGAAAGTGGTATTCTGTGACTATCTGATAATTAAATTAGTTCTTGTTCATCTGTGATAAGAAAATTTGCATTTTGAGAAAAAACAAAATTGTTTCTCCTCCATTTCTTCGTCAGATATTTAACGTTCTTTCATTTATCCCCCAAAACAAGCTCATCTTCCGTGTGGTTTGGAGAAAACAAGAGTTTCATGTTACATAACTGCGAGGAAAACAAAAGTATCAAGTTACAAAGTTGGCACGAAGAGCTAAATTGTCATGTTTGTTCAACGTATTATTGAATTTAATATGAATGAAAATCACCGTAAAACACCAGAGTAAAATTTAAAAGCTGTCGTGACAAACAGTAATTGTACGTAATTTTCGGACCTTGAATGAAAATACAGCCTTGAAACGTACTCACTGCTAAGGGGAAAAGCCCTAGCAGACTACCAAGGTAGATACAGTCCGGAAGTGAACCGAGCAGGTGTGAGTACTTTTGGGACTACCGTGCCAGAGCTATCAATTGCAGTCTGCACTATCTGAGATTGTCTCCCTAGTTTAATTTTCTTTTACCTGAAATTTCTGGCTCTTCATCACTGGCATCTTTTAGGAAAAAACTTAAAGCATATATATATTATTGGTAACTATTAACTCTGTCATTAAATAAGGCTTGTCATTAATTACTTTATCTAAATTAGTCATCTGTCCTTTGTATATAAATTGTAGTTTTGTATCTTCATTGTAATCTTGTATCTTAATTTTTGTTATTTATTGATCATTGTACTCTAATTCTATTTTTATTTGTGTGGCAAATCAAAAAAAAAATTAAAATAAAAAATAAAAGTTATAATTGTAAAAGCACACCTGCACAATTGCAAGTTTTGAATTACAATTCACCATTTTGCTATAGGGTGTAGTTTAATACTTCACAAAAATAATTGCAAATTGCTATTTGACGGAATTTAATTAGGATTCCACTTATTAAACAATTACATTACTTGCTCTCAATTTCCATGAGGTGATAAATTGATTCGGACTTTGGCCTTATTAGAAATCTTGATGTTGTAATTGGTTGTTAGTTAGAGTAGTGCATTACTCAATAGCTCTTGATCGATAAGTATGTGCATCCACTGTGTTGTGATTGTACAATTGTAACACTTTGTACTTTTTCTTTCTCATGCAGGTTGTGGAGAACTCTGTGGGAAACGGAGAGACTTGCTATGCCAGCATCGCTGTAATCAGTAAGAAATAGATTTATTTCTTTATATTTTTGAAAACATTGTTCTTCATCACATCTAACCTTTACAAGGGTAAGTCCTCTTTTTAGATTTGATGTTGTATTTTTAAGCCAGCAGGTTTGTACGCGATTGCTGTTTTTTCTTTATTATCATCTATTATACCAAGTTGTTTTATTTCGATTATTATTCCCTGTTTTCATCCTGCAGAATGATTATTTCTTTTATTTTCTTTTAATTTATGATTTTTCCTTTTTGTAGTTTCTTTTTCATTGTTTCTAAAAAAAATGCACAACAAAACAACACAGCCAAAAAAAAAGAAAAAAAGCTTACTCATAAAAATTGATCTACATGTATAATTATTAGGGAAAAAATATGAGGCGCATGAACTGCATAGACCATGGTGTCTTTCTTAGGTTAAACCATGATGGTTTTTTGTGAAGAACAAAGGTACCGGAGGGAGTCACAAAAACTGAGACCCCATCTCAGTTTTCAAACTCCAGCTTCCTTTTCATGGTACATGTATGAAAACTAAGATCTCAATGATTTAGTAAACCATCAAAATTATGCACAGCAGGTCATATAACATTTCAACATGTAAAGCTTCTTCACTAGCTGCTTTGTTCCTCCTAGCAGTTCACTAATGTACAATTTTTTTAAACATTTGCCATGTGATCTTTGGCAGTGACTTTGATGCCGATGAAAATCTGAGATAAACTTACTGATAGACAGAGTGTTACAGTACAGAGTAGCCTGCGAACAGGTTCCCGGCGAAGACGGAAAAAATTCTAGCAAGCGCGAAACAGAAGAATTTGGAGAGCAAAGCGATCGGGGCAGGGACAGGGGAGCCTGTAGACTTTGTTTTTAATGTGCCTATCCACTCTTGGTGATAAGCCTGTAACAAATCAGTCAATGAGGTAATTAGACCTGTCAAGAGGCTACATTTTCGGTACTTGCAAACAGGTCTAATCGAGCTAATCAAATAGCCGGGCCGGGCGTCATAATATAGATTGCAAGTAAGCAACATGTTCACAGAATATTTCAAACATTTTGTCCTGTCAGAGCCAATACTTAGAGAGCTTAAAACATATTTTGCAATACTGAAATGAGCCTAAAGAAATTATAAGCACATGATAGAGGTGTCAAACTCTGTGAAGCAACAAGCAGATAACAGTGGAAAGTCTGGAAAACATGCCTTTGATCTCTAAAAAATTGCTTTAGCACTGCCAAACGGCTCCACTCCACTAGCTTCTACTTAAAATTCCTCCTCGTAGCAAAGCATAAAGTACCTTTCAGAATCACATGTGAAATAACGAGAGGTTGAGAGACCGAAACTTAAAAGAGAACGGCAAATGCACTTTTGTAATGAACTGTTGGAGTCATATAGTTTTACAAAGATCTGTCAAATATTTATCTCAAAGATGTCAACAATCAGCGATTTAACCAATCATATCATGATACCAGGAGCTGGTATCATAGAACAGCTGCATCAATAGAATGTCTACAGGCTCCCTTGCTTTGTTCGGGCTCACCGGGAGCCTGTTTGCAGGCTAAGCACAGAGTTTTTAATATAGTTATGATAATTATAATACTTAAGTCAGGTTGAAAATCTAATGATGGTCATGACTTTGAAGCTGGGAACTCTTTTTGAAGCATTTTGAATGGCTTTTTGAGGAATTGTTTTTTAAATGTGGGTGAGAGGCTCGGTTATGCCTTTGATGTTATTCCCCAAAGGCAACGTGCACCATGGTATAACGATCAGATTTTAGCTGCAAAAAGGATGACAAGAAAAGCAGAAAGGAAATGGCATTCAGCAAACTCCATGTACGACCTAAATGTATACAAATCTGCAAGAAACTCCACTACTAATTTGATTAAAAAGGTACGCTTTGATTTTATCAAAACCTCATTCAAGAAAACAGTTTGGATCAAGGAAATCTCTTTAGGGTCTCAAAGCAGCTGTTACATCAAAGCTTTGATGTTCCACACCCTTCTCACCTTAATAAACCGATGTTGGCAAACGGATGGCTAACTTCTTTGTTGAAAAGATAAGTAATATAACATCCAAATTCAAAGAGTGTACAGTTCAGGATTGTCCAGATTGTGCACCCATCATGGATCCATGTACTCCGTCATTTAGTAATTTTGAAGGAATTACAGAATGTGAAGCTTACAACATTATCAAGAATTTGGCTAAGAAATTGTGGCAGTCTCGATCCCATACCCACACCTCTGGTAGTCAAGTGCATCGATTTCCTCTTACCAGTCATATCTAACATCTCACTTGATAGTGGTCACTTTCCCTTAGCATGGAAAGAAGTCTTGGTTTTGCCAAGTCTTAAGAAGGCTGGGCTTGACACTGTTTTTAAGAACTACCGCCCTGTAAGTGATCTTTCCTTCATTTCAAAAGTAACTGAAAAAGCTGTGTTTCTTCAAATTGACAATTACATGAAGAAACATGATCTTTATCCACCATTACAATTTGCCAACAAAGAACCATAGTACAGAAACAGCACTTCTGAAAATTACTAATGACATCCTGATGGAAGTGAATTCTCAGCATACTGTTTTACTTGTTTTAGTAGACTTGAGCACTGCCTTTGATACAGTTGATCACAGTGTACTTCTGCGTAAAGTACAAATTTCATTTGGAATTTCTGGAGCACCATTAGATTGGTGTACCTCGTAATTAATGGCCAGAAGACGTGTTTCCATTTCCAGCACCCTTTCTAACAGTCTCTTTCTTGAATGGGGCATTCCACAAGGAACTTGTCTTGGTCCCCTATTATGTATCATCTATTCTTCAAAGCTATTTAAGGTATCATGGTAGGTGGAATTTTACAAAAAATGCGAAAAATCTTTTTTTGGCTGTTCAAATTGTGAAGACTGAGACAACTATTTTGCAAAAAGAATCGGGAAAAAAGCTTTTGTATTTTTTAAGACAAATAAAAAGAAACTATTTTTGAATCTCATTAACCTCTTACGGCACGTTGACACCTCTAGTTAAAATTCACCGCCAGTTGTCACATGGATTATGCGAATTGCGGTGTGATATTTTATTTGTGCACGCGAACTGTTCTCAATCACACGGGATCTGGTTGTTTCATTGCAAGTTAGCTTTCGTTCTTGTCAAATTTTCTTCATGTCAGGATGAAAATGCAGGAAAACGTCTTGCCCATTTTCGTCCTTGAAGAAGCCGAAGAGGCAAAAATCTGTTGGAACCCACAGGTTCAACGCCGAACAAGATCTTTGGCTCTGAGCAACCATGGGTCACACTGTAACCAAGAAGAATGGTTGAAGGAACTCGAGGACACTAGTCCCGCCAATGAAGTTGAATGAC